GCTTTGGATACCTTCTGCTTGGGACCCCCGTGTGATAAGGTCCCTAGATCCCTTTCACACGTAGAAATCTCCTTAAACCAGGTGTCCCCCATCTTATATCTATGCATTTCATTTTTTTGCCCTAAGTGCAGTACCTTATATTTCTCTGTGTTGAAATTCATTTTGTTAGCTTTGGTCCAGCTTTCTAATCTATTCAACATTCAGAACATTTTGAATTTTCATCCTGTCTTCTGGGGTATTGGCTATTCCTCCTAATTTGCTGTCATCTGCAAATTTGAGAAGCATGCCCCCTATTCCTTCATCCAAATCATTGATAAAGATGTTGAATAGCCCTGGGCCCAGATCAAGAACCCTGTGGCACTCGAATAGATAAGAATGGCAAGGGGAAAACCAACACCCAAGTACCTTGAATCCTTCAGGCCTGGAGTGGTTTTAATTCCAGCCATGGGATGTCCCAACGAACCTTCCTCAGGTGGCCAGATGCGAGACAGACAGAGAGAGAGAGAATGATGGTGGCCACCAACCTCAAGGGCAGAATATTGTGTCCAGTTCTGGGCCCCACAATTCAAGAAGGATGTGGTCAAACTGGAGAGTGTCCAGAGGAGGGTGACCAACATGGTGAAGGCTCTGGAAACCATGCAACCCTATGAGGAGAGATTTGGGGAGTTTAGCCTGGAGAAGAGACGGTCATGAGGGGATATGATAGCCCTGTTTAAGTCTTTGAAGGGCTTTCATATCAAGGATGGAGCAAGCTTGTTTTCTGCTGCTCCAGAGACCGGGACATGGATGGGCATTCCTGAAAATGCCCATCCAAACTCTGATGAAAGACCCTCAAAGATGATATGGCCCATTAGAAAAGACCATAATGCTGGGTAAAAGTGGAAGTCAGTAGAAAAAGAGAAACACCACATGGCAGATGGATGGACTCCATCAGTTTGCAAGAGGGTTTCTTGGAGGTCCCTCATTCAGAAGGTCACCATAAGTCAAAGTCAACTTGATAACAACAGAGACCACTTTTACAGTCTCCGTCCGGCTCCTCAGATTCTATATCCTTGAATTCAACCATCCGCACCTTGAAAATATTCAGGACATATGTAAATTCCCAAAAGCAAACTTTGATTTTGCCATTTTATATAAGGGACACCATTTTATTACACCATTATATTGAATGGGACTTGGGTATCCACAAATTTTGGTATCCACGAGGGATCCTGGAACCAAACCCTAGCAGATACCAAGGGCCCATTGTATTTATGTACTTTTCCTAACCCGCAACTTTCTCTACGTATTTCCCCCACCAACTGAAGCGTATTCATGTCTATTTTTCAAAACTGTACTTGTTTTCAACTGTTTATATTTTTAAATGTGTACACAAAACAGATGCAAGCCTTGCAAATTTGTCAGACACTGGAAGCTCTGTCTTGCAACAAGGTTCAGGTTATTCAGGTGGTAAGAAATGGATCATTGAGGGGAGGATCTCAAAGCCACCAAAATTCTTCTCTTTCCCAATTCCAGACGTAAATTTGCTTTTGGGTCTTCTGGGACCGAAAGAGAACGGTCATAGAAGAGAACCGAGACTTCGGGGTGCCATAGGTGCCATGGGCGTTATGGCTGGGAACTTACATGCAAATCCCCCTCCACATCTGGGTTTCTTTTGCTTCCCATTGTGCAACAGCTGTATTCGGTTCACAGAGCTTAAGCAGAGTTCTTGCATGTGTGAAGGGTTAAGCAATTCAGATAACAAGCTTTTGATGTGGTTTTTAATATATTTTAATATTTTTAATGTGCAATATATTTTTTTTTAAAACTTAAAAAAAAACCTTTATAGCTACATTTCACTGCTTACATATTGTGTCGTTAGCTGCCTTGAGTCCCTATATTGGGAGAAATGTGGGCTATTCATGTCAATATTAATATTGATAATAGTGAACAGAGCCAGCATGGCGTAGTGGTTTGACTATTGGACTATGACTTTGGAGACCAGGGTTTGCTTTTCAGCTCTGCCATGGAAACTCACTGGGAGATCTTGGACAAGTCACATTCTCTCAGCCTAAGGGGAAGAAAATGGCAAAACCTTCTCTGAACAAGTCTAATAATAATAATAATAATAATAA